GCATATTAAAATTGCATCTCGACCTTTCTGTCTCTCTTGGGAGTGCCAACAGCTAACTGAAAGCAGAGGAAGTGCTTTGTAAATCAATAATACTAACTTAAGCCATTTTTCATTAGATGGTGTGTGTATCTGAGTGTGAATAAGATGAATTTGGTATAAGTGTTTTTGGAAAAGTAACAGAGTAAAGAAAGACAAAAAGAGCGGGGAGAAAAAAAGGACACGAAATACAGAAATGCTGTATACTTCTCTGCCATTGCTGTTTTCTCTAAGTGTGTGTAGACATGAGGGCTGATGTTCCCCAAGAGTCTGCCGCATTAGACCCAGGCAATCACACACCATCAGGCCTCTGCACATTAACTGCCTGAATCCTAATTAGATCAATGCCGATGAAGTCACACACAGACACACAGTACATTAAAGTATCCCCTTGTGATCGAGGCCTAGCAATATGAACCAGCTCATATGGTTTACTGCTAGTAAATATCACTACAGGGAATAATGTCTATTCATGTTGTCTGTTGCTCTCTATCGCATTGTTAAGACTGGCAAAGATATTGTTTTATTTTAAAATGGCAGTTCAAACCGGAGAGACGTGATGTAAGAATTACATATTTATTGTTTACACGTCATATGAATGAAATGATTGCCATGATAATACAACAGGAGAATGTAATGGTGTTTGGCGATTAGGCCCCGGTTTGCAGGATAATCATTCAGGAGAGAAAGCACCGCTCCGATGAAATCCCCAAAACCAGTGAAGTATGAATACTGAGATGAACTGAGTTGCTTACCTTGTGGGGTGACTGGTGATCTGGGAAGGAGAGATAATAGATTAACACGTATATGAGCGACACTGTGCCGGAATCACTGCCGGAGCTTACTGGTCATGCTGAGACTCTGACTGCCAAAATCAGTGCCGGTCTTACCTGAAAACGACCTGCGGGTCGCATGCCTGGCCAGCAGGGCTTGACTACGCCGAGGAGCGAGCGGTTTCGTTTTGTAACGGTAGCCCAACGTCCACGACACCGAAGTGTACGGTAGCCTTCCGCTACGACACCGAAGTGTACGGTGGCCTTCCGCCACGCCTGACTTCGCAGACTATATATATATTTTTTTCTTTCTCTTTCCTTTGTTTTGCAACTGACACCGAAGTGTACGGTGGCCTTCCGCCACGCCTGACTTCGCAGGCTATATATATATATATATATATATATATATTATTTTTTTTTTTTCTTTACTCTTTCTTTATTTCCTTTGTTTTGTAACTGACACCGGAGTGTACGGTGGCCCGAGTCCACGCGGACTGCAGGAAATACATTTTTACACTGATACGTTTGAGCAAGGCCTGGGAATGAAATACCTGTGTGCCGGAGATGAAGCCCGTTACATGTGGTTGCAGCGTGAGACGAGACATTATTCCCGGTGGGCGGGGCCCGCGGAATTAGGACAGGAATGCAGTTTTGAATATCGGGAACCTTAGTGAGACATGTATACTTGTGAATGTGTTTGAGCCACCACCAGTTATATGTATAACTACCATAGTTAGGGTCTGAGAGATCTTTGGGAAGCCCGTACGGCGCTGATGTCCGGACGAATGAAGGTTGTGAAGGCGGAGGAGGACCACCGTCCTAGTTGTTGTAGGGATGAGGTAGAGAGACCTTGATTAGCAGCAGAGGTGGCTGCACCTATCCTGAAGGAATTCCCCGGGTATGATATGGGTGATAGGCTGGATTTAGTGAGAATTTGCTTGAGGTAGAAATTGACGGGGCCATGACCCTGCGAACCACTCTCCCTGGAAGAAACCCCCCAAAACCCATGGATGGGCGGCATCCGTGAAGACCTCATTGAGTCAGAGGAACGCACGAGGCCATCGTAAAATAAAGTAATCCCGTTCCAGTGGGCGAGCAGGAGGGACCAGAACCGAAGGTCTGAGCGGCAGCCTTCGTCTAAGAAAACGCAGTCATGGAGGTTGTCGACCGCTGATGCTGCGTCCAGGAGGCGGGAGATGAACGAGCGCCCCTGGGGGATGACGTGCATGGCGAAGTTGAGGTGTACGAGAAGGGAGAGCGACTGTTGTTTTGTGATAACTTGTTGCTCGCAGTATGACTTGGTGATGTCCTGGATGCGCTGCGATTTGTCTGAGGGGAGAGACGCCTTCATGTCTATGGAGTCGAGGATGATGCCTAAGAACTCTAAGCGTGTGACGGGACCTAACGTTTTCTCTTTGGAGAGAGGGACACCTCACTCCTGAAGCAGTGTTTAAGCTTGGCCAGTGAGATCCCTGAGCTGTCCTGTGGCGGGTTTATGGGGAGGAAGTCGTCCGGTAGGTGAAGGACGGAGGGGATTCTGACGATGTTCAGCAGGATCCAATAGAGCGCTTCCGAGAAGGAATTGAAGATGCAGGGGCTGCTTCTGCACCCGAAGGTCAGGCGAACGCGAAGATAGAGTTTGGACTCCCACTTAATACCGAACAAGTTCCACTGAGACGGATGAATGGGGATGATTTGAAGGCATCGGTAATGTCCGCTTTGGAGAGCCGAGCTCCGTGCCCTGTGAACTTGATCATCTTTATTGCATTATCCACTGAGGCATGGTGAAGGGAGAACTGATCTGGAGGGATGATGCTATTGACGCTGCAGAATGGGCCGGATCAGGGAGCGGACAGATCGAAAATCAGCCTTTTATTTACGTGTGGCTATTCCGATGGGATTTGAACGGAACACTGAGAAGGGGGAGGAGCTAAAAGGACAGATTATATATCCTTTGAGAAGTTCTTTGTCGATGAGCTGGGAAACTATGTTGGGTTCTTTAGCGGCTGACTGTAAGTTTCTTGCTACGAAAGTCACTGTGGGAGATGGGAGGACCCCTACCCTGAAGCCTTGGGAGAGCCCCGACGGGAGATAGTCAACAAACACGGAATCTGTAGATAGCGCAGCTGCTAGCTGAGGGATGTTAATGGGAGTGGAGGGGTGATATTCCAGAATGTTTTTAGTTATTTATTTATTTGTTGATGTTTCTGGCGCAGAGCCACTGTGACGGCCCGTCCACACGGTGGCGTGCGTTACAGCTTCCAAACGCTTCTGCCCATTCACTTTGAATGGGGTGACGTTACTTTTAGTAGAACTGTATTTTGGGAAGCGACGTGGAGCGTTTGCTGGCGTTGCTCGCTTCAAAAAGTTGAGCAATGTTCAACTTTTGGCGCCTCGGCAGAAGCGTCAGCCAATGAAATCCCGTTTATGCAAATCTGCCGGTACAAGCGCTAGCCAATCAGACCGCGTGTATGTTGGGAGAGACTACGCAGGTAATTCCTCATATTCCAAAAATGTGAGGGAAAATTCATTATGGCGGTAGTGAATCACCCGGTGCTGTATGATCCGTCTCTGTTCATCTACCGGGATACAAACCAGAGGAGCGAGGCATGGAGGGAGGAGGCAGAGACAGTGGGTGACACTGTAGGTTTTCGCCTGTTGGGGATTTTTTATTTTTTTTTTTCCAGTTTACTTAGTTTTAACATTGCTATTGCTTTGTGTGTCGGGGGCAAGAGATTCATGTGATTGGTTGTTGCTGCTGTGCGGACCAGTAGCGTAGCAGAAATTTACTTTAGGGTGGGCCTGTAAAAATATAGGGTGGGCCAGATTTTTCTTCTGCGCATCGGAAACTAACCACGATCCCGCCGGTACCGGTGGCAGATTACTTTTAGAATACTTCCCTTCCTTTTTCTTCCTCCCTCCTCTTCTTTTTATCTTTTCTTTTCTCCTTTTCCTCTTCTTTCTATCTTTTCCTCTTCTTTTTTCTTTCTCTTTAGAATACTTTCTTTTCCATAACAGATGGGTATGTTTTGGTGAACGGGAGACACGTATTTTACTGCTTTAATGGCTTATGAAGAGCACGAACACAACATTTTAGTGTCATTCTTGACAGCTCTCTCATCTGCACCGCACATAAAAAGAAAAACTCACCCAGACTGCATTCTTTGTACTGTCTTAAAACCTTTCCTTGGAAAAGTTTATGCATTGTAAGGTGTCCTTGGGTGCTTTGAAAGGCGCCCCTAAGTAGAATACATTATCATTATTATTTATTATCTGAAACGATGTAATCACTTTTAAAACTTTTCCCAGTTACTTGCCCCATGCATTCGGCAGCAGCAGGCCATTCAGTTAGATTTGATCCCGTTATGAATGTCATCATTTCGACAATAAATAAATACTACATAAACGTTATCTTCCACGTTTTATCTAAACATCTCCGTTTCTACCTTCCAATATGTTTTGAAAGAGAACTCTCTCTCTCTCTCATCTGCGTGCGGGGCGGGGCCTCACGGACACGCTGCATCTCTCGCTCGCAGATACGCTGCAGCGCTGTGCACACGGTTCTGCCGGTAATGAATATTACATTGTGAGGAAACTTTCCACCAATAATTCTAATAAGTATTCACTTCAGGTTTACGAAAGTAACTGCACTCAGTTTACTCGTTTTTCAAATGTAACACCAGCTTAATATACTGATTTGTTTTGTCTTTCTTTTTCTTCCGATTACGTAACACCGTTACATGTATTCCGTTACAACCCAACCCTGTGTAAGGATCGAGTGCAAACGTTTTCGTTAAAACTAGTACCTGAGTGCAACGGAAGTTGAAGCTCCTGTGGCGGAGTCTTCCAGAGCCTGGAGGCGAGCATCGATAGCTATCATGGAGCTAGCCAGGGATTGCAGGGAGCCGGCCGCGCTACTCTCCATAGGGGTGTGTGACGCTCCCGGATTGGCGAGCCTGAGAAGGGGTGGATTTTTGGAGGGGGACGGGATCCTGGAGGGCTCGACTTCCTGCCCTTTTTTACCTCCGCGTCTGCGGCCTCGTCCTGCTCTCTGGGAAGCTGGCTGGAGCTGCTGCCCCGGACTGGGGAGCTACGCTGGAGACCTGGTCCGAGAGCTATCGCCGCTGAGAGAGAGTGAGGCCTGGGGCTGTGGGAAAGCCCTGCTGCAGGAGCCGAGCGATGAGGAAGTCTGCCTCTGTTGATAAGCCGCTGTGGGGAGCCGAACCGGGATCGGAGACTTCCAGAGAAGGTTCGTGTTCCGAATTGTCCGAGGTGGACATCTTGAGCTAGTTGTTTCTTACGGTTTTTCTCACGAGAAGCAGTATTGTATTGCAACTACCATTGCGTGTGATCATCTGCAATGACAACTGACAGGGAGGAAGAGCAGGCATTTAAGGCATTTAGCATGTGCAGCGATTGGCTGCTGAGGGGTGACGCCCTCGTATTTAATGAGGGGGGAAGGGAGCCATAGAGTGACGTGTGAGTGACTCGAGTTAGGTCTTCCTTATTGAACTTGCGCTAAAGCTTTCATTAGATGAGGCATTATTGTCTCTCAGTGAACCAAATAAAACGATGTTCCTTTGCTGTCTGTTCACAGACTTTTTTTCTGTCTCTCAGTTCCCACATTCTTGACACAACTCATAGTCCTTCAAATGACTCCCTGTAACCTCAAACGCTTATGAAAACGCTTCATTGCCTATGAAGCATCCATTTCAGCTATCTGTGGTTCAAACTACATGAGTTCAAGGGACGAAGTTATCAAAGGACTGACGGCCTCATCAGACAGCGAGTCGCAGCAGACGGATCCGGCTGTGGCATTAGAAACTGCTTCGATGTGTCGATGTGGAGGAAATAAAAACATTTGATATTTCGGCGATTACTTAGTCATCGAAGATTTGAAGATTCATTGTGCAGGAAAAGCTTTTTGCATGAATCATTGTAATGTTTTGTAGGATTTTACACCATGCTCTTGCACCCAAAGTACACTATACATCATTTCAAGATGTACCATTACCACCAAGCAAAATCTCTATTAAGAAATGGACTTTCTGTTTATATAGCGTCGGTCCACAAACAAATATTCAAATACAATTTCAAAGACAGAATACTGCGACAAGTTTTCGGGTAACCCGATAGACACCACAGTACAACATTTCAAATTTTAGACAAATCTATATTTACATCAACAAGACACCAAATTATGCTAATTCAGTAGTTATGGGCATATTGCCTCGCAGGATTGAAAGTTGTGATTACAAACAAAGGTGACCCTAAAACAATCTGCCGTTTGTCTTCATCACGGCGTTTGTGTTTTGTCTGATTACGAAGTGTGTTTGTATGTGTGTTTGCCATGGATGGAAGCAGAGAGGGATTGTGAAATGATCCACTCTGTCTCAATGAGTCCAAGCTGGCCACATGGAGTCTGGGCACGGCAGCGGCCATCTGGCCGGGCTGGCAGTGCCCGCCTAATGGAGCGCAGGCTGGAGTTCTGGCTGGCAGGATGAGTCTTCAGTTTGGATAATGACTATAGTGATTAAATTGGGTGTGGATTTTGAACCTGGCTGCGAGAACATTAGGCAGTAAGTAGTTTCCATTGCTGGCTCTGTAACATCTTGGACAGAAAAGCACAAACAGCAGTGTGAGTGGATGTGAGGCTGGTTGATAATGTTGATAAGCTTCATAATTAAAGCACATCTGATCCTTGCATCTGCCCAGTTTGTCTAACGGAGGAGATTTACTCAAGTCAGGTTTAAGAGCCCTAAGAGCAAGTCTTTGAATTCAAACGGTAAATGATATGTGGAAATTGACAAAGCTGTCCAATTACTCCAATGATATCCTTGCTCACAGTGTAATTAGTTGAATGATTAAAAAAAAGTCCTCAATGCAAATTAGGGTCATTTATGTGATTCTTGGTCCAAACAACTCTGTCTCCTGATAGATGATTATAGCTGTTTGCTTATCTTTTTCTCCGGCTTAAGCCTTAAAGTTATAAAACTAACCCTTGAGGAGTTTCAATGTAAGCGTATTCGTCAAGGGCTTACAAGAAAATACATTTTTAAATAGAATATGTGAAAGACAAAGGTTATTTTTCTGCGGGGTTTTTAAGTCAGTTTTCAGCTTATGCTTGGCTGCCGCTTTGTGATTTGGTATGGGAAGTATTCTGTAGGTCTCATTTGTGGCAGGCAGAAAGAAAGGCCAGCTAAACAAAAACAGCCTCTTTCACTTTGATCCTTACTCTTTCTATCTATCTCAGTCCAGAATACAAATACACTCGTTAATAGAACACAAGCCTGCACACTTTATTTAAAAATCACATATAAAAACCATGTTCTTCATGTACAAAAGTGTATTTAAATGCCATCATTAGCCTGACATTTGAAAATTCCTGGCTGCCAACAATTTGCAGGAATTTGCTAATTAAGAACATCTCTATGCTGGCACAACACAGCACAGTTTGAGTTTGAAGATAACAAAAACTTAAAGCAAGTGAAGCATCCCTGGCACAGGCCGCTGTGACTCATCAAAGACTCACCTCCCTGTGTGCCCCTCCGCTATGCAAATAGCTGCTGAGAAGATGACCTTTTTAACTGGAAATAACAGGCATGAATATGTAAACGTATGTATCTGGTGACTTTGGCCAACAAGCAAGGCTGCATAATCGTACTATCATCCACCCTCACACAAAGCCTGAGTGTGACCTCCACTGTGATCGTTCCGCCTTGCAGACAGCGTGTGTGTGTGTTGGCTGAGGACTGTGGAGGATACTGATCAAAGCTCAGGGCATCAGGGAGAGACTTAAGAGGATTGTAATGCCTTGCCCTTGTGTGTCTGTTGTTACACACACTTTGTGCATATTTCTGCTGCACGCAGGGATAAACTTTTTTATTGTTTTCCTTGTGCATCTGAGTATGTCAGTTTAGCTTAATGCACCTCTGCCTCCATATGTTTTTGCATATGTTTGCATATGCTGCCTGTACTGGCAGAATGATTTGACCATTTCTCTTTGGGAACAGAGCTGGCCATAAAATCATGCAGTGGGGAAGTAATTACCCTTAAATTGAATAATTAAACTGTGAGAAACCTTAAAGTAAACATTTAGAGGACAGACGTTGACAGCGTGTGGCGTCTACTGGACATGTGGGACACACCTCTTTTATGAGGTTTTAGTTCACCTTCGATTCCACATAAATATTTGTATATCATCAGTTCAAAGAGTTGAATGTGAAGCTTTTGTTTAATGTATATGTAGTTAATATATTATTGGTATATATCACCCACAATGGGCTACTTTTTTAAAAATATGAATGTTTTTGGATGTGTTCTGGAGATGAAAACACAAATGATCTCTAGTATTGAGTATTGCAGCTGGGCCAGAATTATAAATATGCATAAATGTGTTATTGCCAAAACCTGATTATATTTAATCCTCATTCAGTTGTTATCAGTTTGCACCTCATTACACCCCCACCTTATCCGTAAACAGGACTGATTTAAAATGAAGTGGCACACAGAAAATAGACAGACAGATGGAGTCAGACACAGAGACAGAGCAAGGCATAATCACACTGTCCTGTCCAAGACTGGATGGGAGTGACTTTGAATTCTGAACAGGGTGACCACTGCTGTGTGTGTGTGTGTGTGTGTGTGTGTGTGTGTGTGTGTGTGTGTGTGTGTGTGTGTGTGTGTGTGTGTGTGTGTGTGTGTGTGTGTGTGTGTGTGTGTGTGTGTGGTGTGTGTGTGTGTGTGTGTGTGTGTGTGTGTGTGTGTGTGTGTGTGTGTGTGTGTGTGTGTGTGTGTGTGTGTGTGTGTGTGTGTGTGTGTGTGTGTGTGTGTGTGTGTGTGTGTGTGTGTGTGTGTGTGTGTGTGTGTGTGTGTGTGTGTGTGTGTGTGTGTGTGTGTGTGTGTGTGTGTGTGTGTGTGTGTGTGTGTGTGTGTGTTGTGTGTGTGTGTGTGTGTGTGTGTGTGTGTGTGTGTGTGTGTGTGTGTGTGTGTGTGTGTGTGTGTGTGTGTGTGTGTGTGTGGGAGGAAACTTGTTCACCAGTTTATGTGTGTCAGAGTGACAAAATATCCAAGTGTCTGCCAATCAATCATTGCGTTGACAGGAAGCTTATCGTCTGCTCGGTGTGTTTGTGTGTGCGTTTTTGTGTGCGTGTAGTGTGTTTGACAGAAATACACAAAGCTTCATAACAGGCAGATCAATAGCCTATTCAAGGGTAATGAAACACCAGTCAATATCACCACCCACATTCTGCCTCATAAACTGAGGCAGAATGTGGGTGGCCTTTCTTTCACTCTCTGTCTGTATGTCTTTCTGTTCTTACCCACTCGTGATTATCTCTAGGAAGATTACATAATTAAAGGCACAGCCATTATTGCACCATTTTCAAGTTCATGTACAATACCATCTCCACTTTATGTACTATATATTGTACCAAGTTAATTCAATAAATTACCAAACAAAGACTTGTTGAAAGTACATGTTAAATGTTCTGTTCTTTACATCTGTGCAACTTTTGCTACCTTTTTTTGCAGGTATCACCAATAGAAAATGTGGCTATATTGCAATAAATCATTTGAGTTTTATAATAGAGATTTACAGGGCACTGGGTTCAGTATACTTAGCTACGATGTCTTATGTAACTCTCACCAAGAAAGCAAATAAATATATTATACTTCATTCCTATAAATATACAATATAAATGAAAATATAAAAAGGGATGACCCAGGAACTTAGACTTGGAGCAGGGTTGGTAATCTCTGCTGTTTGCTCTATAATGAAAATGGTTCCCAAATGATTAAGGTATACATTAAACTTACAAAGTGGGTTTAGATTTATCATGTACAGTAACTGTAAATTAACAATTGATTATGGCGCTACACCACAGTTTGGTTACTTAATAAGTTACATTATCCATCAGCAACATCTGCAAAGTGGAAGCAGGTTGACTCAGAGGATATGTTGCAAATAAAAAATTCAATACTGAACTCGGCAACATGCCTCCTCCAGTGCTGATCCGACCAGGGTGCCCCCCCCCCCCCACTGAGAGGCCCAGCCGTGCAGTAACCCCAACTAAGTAACACTGCAGGGCTGAAGCTATCTTCACAGAGTTTAGTGTTTTCATCACGTTGCTTTGGCGCTCTGGATTAATAAAGGATACGTTTTCACTCAGAGATAGCCCACGTGCATTGATTTCTTTATTAGATCTAAAGTTACTGCTGGTTACAGATACAATACTGTGACAGATGTTT